AACTAAAATCAGCTGCCCTTAAGTCTTTTAATCAGAGTAGTATCCTCTCTCTGTGGAGTTGGAGTATGTTAATCATATTCAAAAGAAGAATAGGAAAACTGCCTGAGTTTTTTGGCAAATGATGTCAATAGGCCAAATTTGTTACAAATGGGCTGGTGGAGTCAGGAGGGCTAAAAAACACTGCTTCAACCATTTGGTCATTAAGTTGAATAAAGTTAAAGGACATCTAATTTTGGATATCGAGGAAACAGTCCCAAATCAGTTATAAGGACTAAAGTACATGGTATTTTAGCAAGAGTGTATCATCTGCAAATCATGACATGGGATACTGTGCAAATACAGTACGTAGGTATATCTGTAATAATATGTATTTTGAAGGGCCAGGCCAGCCCCCAAAAGTTAGGATACATTTCGACTAACATTGACATGAAAATCTGGTGCTAATTTTTCTGAATTTTGTCATTTTAACCTTTTTGTAAATAAAGCAGTTCTGATTTTCTTTATGCAGCAGTATGGAAGAGGATCAGGGCCACTGGGAAAAATAAAAAATAAAAAGGCCAATATAATTTTTTTGTTTTTATTATTCTGAAATTAAAGTCAGAATTCTGAGTTCAAAGTCGGAATTTTTTTTAAAGTTATGTTTTGTCAGGATAATAATTTTTAAAAATTATATCGCACTTTTTTTATTTCATTTTCCCTGTGGCCCTTATCCTCTTTTGTACAGCAGAGATATTATTTACTTGTGAGGAAAAAGACACTTTAGCTTACCTCACCTTTAGTGGGATGTTTCAGGGTTCTACTTGTTTGTCAGGGGATACAGGACTCAGCTCAATTGGTGTGAAACAAGTGCATCAAAGGATTCCCATGACACGTTTTATCCAAATCAATGAGTGCAAACAGCTATGTTGAGACCTGCTCCACTCCTATTGATTACTTCTTGTGGTATACTGGGAAGGACATTAAAAAAACGCATGACCACGAGGTGTATCACATAAAACGGTCATAATAATGAACTATTAATATCCCTCACGCCCACTGCAGCTTGCTGTCCTCTGAGCTAGTATCATAAATCCCCCCACTCCACCTGAGTCCTCTGGGTGGCATAAAGAGAACAGCCATGTGAAACGTCTCTTTTATACCTCCTGTCCCTTCCTTGCTCCCCCGTGTCCATGCTCTTCTCTGCAGAGCGCTGGCTTTCAGTGTGACGGCCTCAGCTGTGAGGGCCCGGAGTGGTTGTGACAGGCTGGGATAGCAGCCGTTCCCTGCTGTCTGCAAGGATTAGCTCTCCTTCTTCAGGATGGCTGGGGGATGCCTCCTGGCCCCCATACCTGGCTGCTATAGGTTCCTCTTCAGATAACCGTACAGGTTAGGTTTTCAGTAACTGCAGACATAATACAAATTAGGTGATATTTGCAGAAAAACAGAAAGAACATGACTTGCACCTTTGCTCCAATATAACCAAATTAAAATAATTTCTGATAAGTTATTACAAAGTATTTTTTCATGCAACAAGTTACATTTTGTGAGATGTCTTTGTTTGCGAGATTGCCCTTTTGTACATAAGACTGGAACCTGAAGCAGGGAGAGCACACCTCCCCCTTGTTTCATGTGCTTTGGCTTGGAAAGCCAAGGCAGGTAGAGTAGCAGCAAATAATTCTGCACAGAACAGAGCAGGCATCTGTGCCAGTGCATGTGACTGTTGTAAACTCAGACACACCACAAGTACGAAGACCTGTGGTGTGGTAGAGTGTAGAAAAGCAGGAAGCCAGTTGAATGATTGAAAGGAAATTGGCCGAGCTGTCTGCTGATACAGGCTGGCATCAGGATGAGCTGTTGTACACAGATATATGCATGTAAAACATTTTGGTTTGACTACTTTACATATAGTGCCAAAGCTTCACTGTAAGTACATGAAACTGTTCATTTGTTTGTGACTTGATCGGGCATAATGGTATGTGTATTCATCCTGAGGCTGAGCTATCACATTACGGACAACACAGTTCAGTGCATTAGTTATTACGACAAATATGTCTAGGTCAGTGAAGAAACTAGGAGGCCCCACTCACTGAAGTAGCACTTGGCGCTTTGGCATAAAAAATGATCACAATATATTTTGTTATATAGTCCTATCTTGATTATTACCATGTTTTTTGTTTTTTAAACTGCCAGTTTTAAAGCATCTGTACTAAAACCTAAAGAAACTAAAGATTAGTTCAACATTTTATCAACATACATAAAGTATATAAAGCAAATTCAATAAGATAAACATAGAAAAATATAAAAACCATTTTAACTCTACAGTACAACAAACGTAGATAAATACTAAACAATACAGTGAAGTAGTTTACAGTCCTGAGTATTTTTGCAGGTATGCAAGACCCAAAATCAACAAATGGCCCCCTCAGGGATAATGAATACGCCTTAAAATATAAACATTAGATGATGTAAACGTAGATGATACTATTGATTGCTGCTTTGGTCTGGTGGCTGCACCACTAGTTGTTGCTTAAACCCCTAATGCTTCTTGTGCCGTCAGCAGTAGCAGGCTGTGTAGACTCCGCCTGCATTTTCATGCTTTCTGCATAATCACTCAGGAAGTACTTTTTCAAATGATTAAACAGATTTATTGTGTTGCCAGTTTGTGAGGACACAGACCACCAACATACCTTGCACAATGGCTTAATTGCTCAACGTCACTTTGGAGATAACTGTACCACCGCAACACAACCGACGTTAGATATCTTTTCTTCTCAACAATAACATCTTTGGAGGATGACTCAAAGTCATGGCTGACATGTATTTTGCTGCCCTCAGCAGCTCCGCATTTAGCTCCACGTTCGGTCATTCTGTTTACTTACCCTGTTTACTTCTCTGGCAACTTGCAGAAGTGAGCAACCCTGTTTGATTGAGTAAATATACTCACAGCTGAGCACTATGATTAAACTGAAATTTATCACGATCAATAATCACGATCAAATAATCACCCAGTTCTACTTTGAAGGGCAACATTAACTAAAATGTGTTAAAAACCAAAAGGCATTTTGACCAAGAGAGTAAGACAACATCTAAACCAGCTGCCAGGTTTTGATTAAAACTTCCTACCTAACACCTGCTACCGTATCAACACTGCATGATGGAAGTAACTTTACAGTTCTAAAGCACTGGTACTGTAAGAGAAATGTCAAAGTCTTAACTTGATATCTAATTCCCTCACAGAAATTTCTTGCCACAGCTTGTAACTATGCTTAAGAGACTAGTGATGGAGGCTGTTGATGTGTTGTTGACTGTTTATTGCTGCCATTAGTCTGCCATTACTGTTTATTTATGTTGCCTACTGCTCAAGTCACAGTGTCTGAGAAGCATCCTGTAGAGAGTAAAGTGTCTGAAACTAAATTGGCTTGAATTAATCTTTCTGCGATCCACTGTACAGTTTCCAAATATTGCATTACTATGCATGATGTCTTCCCCTTCTTGGTATTATCACACACTTTTGAGTGTAATAATGAGATTTATTCATCAGTGCCTCATTAGCCGTGACACTGGTTCAAGTTAACACCTGTGAAGGCAACAAAATAATATTTGTTGTGATTTTAATGAAGCGCGTGAAGACAGCAAAAAGTGTTTGTAGCACCATTGAGCTCAGGTGGCGTCTCAGAGCCGTATGTGATGGTTTAAATACGGCCTCTGAGGCAACGCTGAGGTATTATCATTGTGAGGTTGGGATGTAGCAGAGAGTTAGTCTGCTGTGCACATTAGCCGTGTATGTGATCATCAATGCAGTATTTTCTGCTGCTTGAACGGCTGGATTGCAAAAAAAAGGAAGCTGTATTCTGTTTGCCCCTTTCAGCTGTTAAGACTTATTGTCCCTGACACGGTAACTGTAAAGCAGGCTCTTGCAAACCAATTCTCACTATTTCCCTTATCGACTTCTCTTTTCAACACTAGTGATCAGTCGCTGTGAAAAAAAGACGCTGACCTTTGGTTTTATAGACTATTTGTGGTATGGAAAAAAATGTCACAGTGAGGTTTCTCTAACTATCTTGGGTATTGAAGGCAGAGCCCAAAGAATCACTGGCTGCGAAAGGCCTTTTGTGAGCTTGTTTGAGTATATTGGTTGGAGGCACCTTTATCCAGGGGTTCAATTTGAACTTTTACGCACCATAAATAGCCATCAAGCGGACATTGTAAATGGCTGAGATTGAGGAAAAGACAGCTCTTGCATTAAAAGGACGACCCCAGAACAGATGGGATGCTCTGCTCTGCTGACGAAGCCCAAGGCCTTAGACCAGACCCCATCATGATGACCAGTCCAGCGTGGATTTCAAAGAGAGAAAAAAAAGGAGTAAATCTCAACTGGCCCACATCCAAACACCCAATTATTCAGTACCAGGAAAGCCTCTCCTCTCCTCTTCTCAGCCTGACTTGATTTGAAATTTTTCAACAGGCCAAACAGAGAATGTGTGTTTGTTTCCAGAGGCAGCCAAGAACTAAGATTGAAGGCCATTTTAATGAGCTTTCCCAATGAGATGCCACCTGTTTTATCCAGATAATTGGATGATTGGCCACCCTTAAACAACCCCTGCTTGGCGAACACTCTTTCTTTCTCATCTTTCATACTTCTTCCTCAAAGATATGCACAGTTTGACCACATCAAGACTAACAATAACTTACTTACTCGAAAACATGTTGTTGTTAAGGACTGGACAGATAATGAGAAATTAGAGGGTAGCAAATGACTCAGCTTTGTGTGTAGACATCAGTCCTCCTGGTAACCCTTGCCAGCTTGTGCAGACAGCTCAGGTGGAGGACTTGGATTCTGTTTTTTCATCATTTTAATGCATTAGTCGTGGTCAGTGTTGGGCAAGACACCTATAACCAGTTCTTACTTTTAATATCTAGTGACAATCAAAAAGTATCTGAGTTATTCAGTAAAGTAGTGCATGATAAAAGTTGTTGGTGAATGAGCTGTGGCCCCGTTATGGGTACATTTGAGTGTATGCCTCTGCAAGGTGTTGAGATCATAGACTGTTTAGAATGGACGCCGTCTGCCTCCTTGCTGGGTGAAGCCACCGCGAGAACAGCACCCTCTAGTGATGGGCTGCAGTATAGGTCATAAATCCCGCCTCCGCCAGCAATCCCTATGGAGTTGTGGACAAACTTTCGAAATTAATTACACAGAGTTTAAATTTTTCTCCCCCCAGTTGTGATGTTGACATGTAGTTGCTGTAAGACTGTAAGACTGGTCCTCTTTTTTCTGTGCAGCTCCATTTTTAAAAGTTATAAGGGGTTCATATTTTCTATGATTGACACTTGATACAGCCTATGGGTGTACAGAGATTGTGTAGCTCACCCAAGGGGTACACTGTTTGAGCTGAGCATCATCACAGCAACTCTCTGTGACTCTCCAGCCGAATGTGTACAGTGCTACTGCACCAGTGGTGGTTCTACGAAGTGGAGAAAATCCCAGAAATACCGTGACCAATTCGGCTTAGAATTCGTGTAATGATGGTAGGTGGAGCCAAGTCCATGGTATATACAGTCTATGGTTGAGATGCTGTTGGTTCTGTGGCAGCCTGAGTGTGCACCATTGCAGAACCTCAAGACTTCCACCAGACTCTACTATGTGTGCTGTAACAATACCAACAAAACCAACAATGTGTTTATATCCTCATGATGCTGTAAAGCAAAAGGTCTGTCAGAGAGTGTGGTTTATTTTCAGTTGAGGTGGATTGGAGAGGAGGAGGTTGTTTTACACATCATTGGATGTCAAGGGAGGTTTTGAAGTCTGTGTGCCTTTTCTTTAAAAAAGTCACATAACTTAGGACCAAACAAAACACAAAACAAAAGGTTTAATTCCAGCTAAATGAAGAGCCCTGCCTCCAATGGGATGCTGGGTAGTCAGTCCTACTCTCCTCAATGCCCCTGACTCCAGGGACCATTGCTCCATGAGTGCCCATCATTCTCAGGGCTCTGCTTACTGTCGTAGATGAACTACAATCAAAATACCAGACAGTGGTATTCACGGGATGGGGGAACAGAAATTGTGGATGCTTCAGTCACCTTCAGATCTAACATGTAAAAGATTTTGGTGTGTCAAGAAATGAAATGGGAGAGAACAATATGAATAAAGCAATGAAGATCGAAACCCGGTGCTGTTAAACTAGTTGTTGCTCTCTCCTTGCCTCTAGAAACGTGCACTTTTAAAGCTCCTATGAAGAGTTTTTTTAGGTAAACTGATGCCTTTTTAAGACAGCTAGACCATCAGCAATGAGTCTGACCCATAGACTGTACATAGAATGGACAGAGTCTGCCTCCTTGCTGGGTGAAGCAACTCTGAGAACAGCACATTCTGTTGATGGCTGCAGTATAGGTCATATATCCTGCCTCTGCCAAAGCTTATGGGGCTGTGGACAAACTTTAGAAATTTATTACAAAAAACATACATTTTTCTCATTTTCTTTGATTGACACCTGATACAGCCTATTGGCATTTAGGGATTGCGTAGCTCACCCGGGGGTATGCTGTTTGAGCCGAGCGTCATTACAAGGACTCTCGGCGACTCTCCGGCCGAATGCGCACATCGCTACTGTGCAGCGCTGGTTTCAGGAATATGAAGAAAAATCTCAAAAATACAGAGAGCTTTTTGGCTTCAAATCCGTATACAGGCGGGAGGCGGAACCAAGTTGTCCATAGTATATACAGTCTATGATCTGACCATTATAATATTGTAAATTTTTGTTTCAAAATGATGAGAGGGGGTAGATCTGAGCCATTCAACTACATGATGCATAATTGACACAAACCAAATGTTCCTCAGTGGAGCTTTAACTTGTTTTCATCATAGTTTTCTTTTGAATTTGACTGTCTGTATTCACCTCTTATGTATCATTGTTGGACAACCAGCATGTAGTTTCTGTGGCTGTGATACATCACAGTAGTTGTGCTGTTGGATGTACCTGTCTCCTTTATGTTCTCATAGCACCTGCTATATGTGGCCTCAATTAGCTTAAATTTAGAAATGGTACAGTCTGCTGATGGCGTTAACAATAACCATTCTGATTTGTATGTAATTATGAATCCATTTTCTGGAGAGCAGACACTTGACTCCCCGTTGAGACAATTCACGTAATTGTATCCATTTCATAGTGCACTATGGAACACCTCAGACTAGGATGAACTTAATAATTTCAGCATTTCACACCATGGGGGCATTGATATTAGCATTTATTCAAAGGCAAGCTGCTCTATAGTTGCAAATAAGACAAAGTGAAACATTCCTGTGACACATTACATTTAACTGCACATCATGCATGCAGCCTGTCAGAAATAAAAAGGACCTACTTTAGAAACTCTTTTAAACCATCAAGTTTTCAATAAGAGCAAATCAAATAAAGAAATCATGTTGCATTTTTTAAGCTTTTTAGAAACAAATGGGTAAGAAACTTGTTAAAGGGATGGCTATTTATCCTTTTATATCTAATAGCTGAATTATTTTTTGGTGACATTAATTTTTAAATGCCAAACTCAAATCAAATCAACAAAAAAGAAAAGCATCGACCTGCCACTAATAAATAGCAGCACTCTTGGTTTTTATTTAATTCAATATTTGTTGCTTTGCAGCTTCTTCTCAGAAAAGGAGGCTTTCTTTCTTCAAAACAGATCAGTTGTACAGCCACAGTTTTAGGCAGAACTACTGTCAGCAAATGTTTGAATTAAGAGGTAACGTTCATAATCAAGAGTGACAGCAGTACTCAATATTTTGCCAAAAAAGAAACACCTTTTGAAAAATATTTGGCTGTTCTGCTGAAAGCCACGGCTTGTAAATCTGTTATGGAGTGTCACTGGTACATTTCTATGTGAACTCTAACATGTAGGAATTAGAGTAGTTTGCTGAGGGGATTAATGCAAAACCTCAGATAATAAAGAAGAAAACACAAGATTTATGACAAATTAACAAATTCTTAATATTTTTTGAGAATATTTAAGTTTTATTTTTATTTTTACAATAATGACGACAATGGTTGAATTATGGAAAAAAGAGCTGTGATTGTTTTGTAAATACATCTAGTAATGCAACTGGACACATCATCAGTGATGTTCCTGGAATCACTGGGTGTTTTGGGTCTTTCAACATCATACACCCTCATCCAGGTGACCCAGCCGGGGCTGATCAGGCCCCGGCTTGTGTCCAGATGGCATGCTAGCTACCACAACCCCATGGTTCTCCTCTCTTGAGCCACAGCCATCTTGAGGCCCTCTCTGCTGCTTCAGTGGTATTGCGGATGGCTCTCCTCTTCGGTTGTCCAACGATGCCTAGACAACCCAGTGTGCTGGCAAAGGACCAGGCCGCAAAGCCCCTGCAGCCAACCACCACTGGAAGGCACTTCACCCTCCATCCTGATTGCTGACAGTCATTGACCAGTCCCGTGTACTTGGAGAGCTTCCTCTCAAAGGCTTCTTCCAGGCGGTCTTCCCACGGGACGGTCAGTTCCAGCATTATCAATTGCTTGGTGGTCTCTGACACAAGGACAATGTCAGGACGGAGGGTGGTGACTGCAATATGGCTAGGGAACTTCAGTTGATGTTCAAGGTCCACTAGCAGCTGCCAGTCTCTTGCAGAGGTAAGGATGCCTGCTGGTACCCTTTTGGCTGTGGCACCCTGCTCCCCAGCCCTGACAAAAGCGATGGTGTTCTTAGGGGGGCGGCACTGCTTTGCCCATGCCAGTCCTGTGCTGATGGATTCAGCGATGGTCTTCAGAACTTGGTCGTGCCTCCACCAGTAGCGCCCTTCTCCTAATGCTGTAGTGCAGCTGCTTAGGACGTGTTCTAAGGTGCCTCTCTTGGAACACAATGGGCAAGCGGGTGACTCTGCTAAACCCCATGTGTGCAGGTTCGATGGACTGGGCAACACATTGTACACTGCCTGGATGAGAAATCTGATGCGGTGAGGATGTGGTGATTGAGTGATGCCTGAATGATCCAAGGACCGCATCATGAAACGGTTGTATGACAACATGTATCTGGACAGAGTCAAATGATGAATGACCACACAGATATTTATCAATGCCCGGCTCTCTGGTACCAAGTGGCTCTAAAGCTGGATTTTCCTCTGAAAGGTCTGGTTCATGGACTGTATATAGAATAGGCACCGTCTACTTCCTTGCTGGGTGAAGCCACTGCGAGAACAACACTCACTGTTGAAGGGCTGCAGTAAAGGTAAAAAATCCTGCCTCCTCCAGCAATCCCTATGGAGTTGTGGACAAACTTTAGAAATTTATTACACAGAATATACATTTTTCTCCCCCCCCTGCTTGTGATGTTGACATGGAGTTACAATAAGACTGGTTTGTGCTCAAGTCCTCTTTTTTCTGTGCAGCTCCATTTTTAAAAGTTATTAGGGGGTTCATATTTTCTATGATTGACACTTGATATAGCCTGTGGGCGTTCAAAGATTGCGTAGCTCACTAGGAGGATATGCTGTTTGGGCTGAGCGATGCGATGCGCGCATTCGGCCACGCAGTCGCCGAGATTGGCTGTGGTGATGCACTGTTCAAACAGCGTATCCCCCGGGAGAGCTACGCAATCCCTGAACGCCCATAGGCTATATCAAGTGTCAATCATAGAAAATATGAACCCCCTAATAACTTTTAAAAACGGAGCTTCACAACAAAAGAGGACTTGAGCACAAACCAGTCTTATTGTAACTCCATGTCAACATCACAAGCAGAAAAAATTATGGTCTGTGTAATAAATTTCTAAAGTTTGTCCACAGCCCCATAAGCTTTGCTGGCGGAGGCAGGATTTATGACCTATACTGCAGCCCATCAACAGAGGGCGCTGTTCTCAGAGTGGCTTCAACCAGCAAGGAGGCAGACTCTGTCCATTCTTTATACAGTCTATGGTACTACGCTACTGCGCAAGTGGTGGTTCCAGGAAGTTGAGAAAATCCCGGAAATACTGGGAGCAATTTGGCCTCAAATTCAACCAATTTTTTCATAGTGTTTACAGTCTATGGCCTGGTTCATTTTTATTTGTGTACAGGATGTAATTACAGACATTGTAATCAAAGTAACCATTGTGTAACATCTGACTTTTTTTTAAACCTGTTTGCTGAGGTACCAAGCATATTGGAGCATTAAAGACGCAGCCAGACACACTGCAGTCTGTTGATTGATTTTACAAAACACCTGTACAGAAAACTAAAAGTGCATCATGCTTGGATAACCCGCGGATATCAAAAAAGTAACTCAGGAGCAATGGTTTGATTTTTTTTTTAATATCTGTTTCTTTTCTTGTGTTGTGCAGCCTCCTCTCAAACAGTCTTCTCTTTGTAATAAACAGGCACCTGCCAAGACAATGTGTAAGAATGCACCCACCCAACAGCTCTTCAAGGACACGTCTCACCCGCCAAAAAGTCCATTCCTCTGCTTGGCTTTTCCCTCCTCTCTGCACTTTCTTCATTCAGTATGTGTTGGTAAGTTCCTTATAAGTGTATTCATTGTTGTGAAGGAATGTTGTCAGAAAGCAGAGGGAGGTTTGATGTTTTCATGGTAACAAAAGCCACAATATAGCCGTACGTTTTCACCACTTAACTGGTGATGTTTTTGTCTCAAAGGCAAGTACGAGACTTGAAGGCTCAGAACTAAAAGTCACACTTTATCAGCAACAAATGTAACAATTGGTGACCTATAACAGGAAGCCGATGTGGGTGCTAATGGCTGGCCCCAGACTTTCTGTAAAGGCATACATTTTGGGGAATTTCATGACTACACAGCTGTGTAAAAAGTAACACCCATGCATTTCTCTGTGTAGAACTGGAAAAGCAGCCAAATTCTGAATCTACTGCAGAGGTAAAGTCACTAAATGTCTCCCTTGGTTATTATCATAGAATTAGTAAAGTATCTGATACACTCAAGAAGTGACAAACTGACATACTGTTTGAAAGACTGATGCTTTAGATGGGACAGAAATAAAGAAATATTGTGTGAGGTGTGCACGGATCACACACTTTTAGTTGCAGAAAAAGACTCTTTGTGTGTACTTGTGTACTCGCCGATGTGTTTGTTCAAGTGTACGTGTCTGCATGTGTGTGTGAAATGTTTGAACCTGTGCATTTGGGAGGGGGGACAGACTTAGCTGGGTAATTGAGTGCTTAATCCCATCAAAGACTGCTTCATGCCGTCCGCTTCTCCCATAATCTGTCCATAATTACACACTCCCAGCATCAGACGCACACACGTACAAAGTTGAGCTTGTACACAGATTTGGAAACACAAACACACACACACACACACACACACACACACACACACACACACACACACACATACACACACACACATACACACACGTACACACACAAACTGCCTTGTTCAGACTTAAAATAGTTCATCTCGAGGTTATTGAAGATGTTTGTCCCCGTAGTTACTGAAAATATATCATTTTTAGTGGAAAGTTTCACAGCATGATTGTCTCTGCAAAAAAACATTGATATAGAGCATTTATTATGACCCGTATGGGCACAATTTTTATCTCTAAAAATGTACAAAAAAGCTGGAGAGCTGAACGCTGCAGCTTGATGATAAAAACCATAGTTGACTGTTTGGAAATCATTTTAACCCTTTATTTAAAGTTTCACTCCAATCCCTTTTTTTTCTTTTAGCTCATTAGCAATTCGCCTCTGAGTCGTGGGCAGAGACAGCGCTGCTCTGCACACTCCTCTTCATGCTAGCTAAACCTAACATTGCAGGTGTAGTAGAAGAAGCAGGTAACATAGGGGCTATTCAGCTTTCTGACACTGATCTCTTTGGGGACATGATGAAAGCTGATATCATAATTAGCTTTCTTTCAAGCACAGCAATCTGCTAACACACATGCTTGTTCCACAATTGTTCTCTCTAATTTTCCGAGTCTGGCCTGCATAGCGGTGCTTCGGGGGGCGGAGCTTGGATTTGTGACACAGGAAATGTCACTGTGTCTGAGCCTGCGGTTTGGGTCTTCCAGAGATTCACAGCGATTTGAATATAGAAATACTCAGAAACCCAATTTTGATAAGTCCTGTAGCATAAAAAAAATGCCATATGACTAATAGACCACAAGAAAAACATGATTTTCATCGAAGTGGGTCTTAAATCAAAAATAGTGCAAATCATATCTTAAAACTGAAGACTTGTGTTGCTCATTGCTTGTTTTGACGTTGATACCAGCGACATGTGCCTAAAAAGTTAGGACAGAGACAACCAAACACAAAAAAAGTTGTACAATTAAAAAAAATAAAAAATTGACAACAAATTTTAAAATGACAATTTTTTTACAGTTTAGTAACATGACTTTACATAAAAAGAGGAATTCCAGAGAAGGTTAGTCTCTGGTAAGTGAAAATAGGAAGAGGGTCACCATCAATCAATCGATCAAATTTTATTTATATAGCGCCAATTCACAACAGTCGTCATCTCAAGACGCTTTTCAAGGAACAAGAGCAGGTCTGGACCACGCTCATTGTTTGGACCACACTCATTGTCACCACTCTGAGGAAGACTGTGATGGGCAAAAAGTTCAGCTGTTTAGGAATATCGTTTCTGGATGTAAAAAATGCACACACACACAAAAAGAAAAAATGCATTAAATCAATAAATTAATAATAAAAAAAAGGACAAATCTTTGTACAAAAGGGATAAAAGCGAACAACAACTGTGAATTGATGATCTTCAAGCCCTCAGGTGCCAGTGCGTTTAAAACTTGCGTGACTCTGTAGTGGAATCTACTGCATTGGCTTAAAAACCTGTGGAGTGTCACTGGTACATTTCTATGTGCACTCGAACATCTAGGAATTAGAGTAGTCTGCTGTGGGAATTAATGCAAAACCTCAGATAATAAAGAAGAAAACACAAGATTTATGACAAATTAACAGATTCTCAATGTTTTTTGAGAATATTTAAGTTTCATTTTTATTTTTACAATAATGATGACAATGGTTGAATTATGGAAAAAAGAGCTGTGATTGAGTGATGCTTGAATGATCCAGGTGCCACTGCATTTAAAACTTACATGACTCTGTAGTGGAATTTACTGCATTGGCATAAAAACCTTTCTGAATGTGCTTGCTGTGATTGATCAGTTTGTCACTGCACAAATTCAGCTTAAAACTACCATGCAAACAGAGTGCAGATGCCCAAGAGGTGGAGGTGCCCCATGTACAGAGGCAACAGTCCCAGTTTCAGCAGGTTTCAGCATCCCAAACCACTTAGCCACTCATCTTATCCATGCAGTCTAACAACCCAACTATCCCTGAAAGATCTTGTCATAAATTCAGTGTTGTGGCTATCGGATTTAATTTCACTGTGAGAAGTTATTGTGAATAATGGAGACATTGTTCCTCATTTATATGCAGATATATGCATCCAAGCACTCCAAAATCTTACCAGATTATCTCCTGTGTAGGTGACCCTGTGCATGAAGTTTCTATTACGTTGATGACACAGTGTCTGCTAATTGTCTACCTGTGTTTGCATGGCACACTGTGGGACCTTCTGATTAATTTCAGCCTTTTTATTATCCAGTCACTCACCTGATATGACCTTGTCACACTCACACTGCAGAGAGAAATCCATTAGTGTCCCTATTTGGTTCCAGGTTGTCTACGGAGACACAAAACCATCCGTCTGTCACAGTATGATATATTTGCTACACAGAGTGCGATACACACTCTTAACCTGTGGGTCAACACAGTGAATCCCTCAGCTGACACATCTTTGATCAAATTACCAAATGGCTCTAACAGGATAGTTGTCCCACATAAATCCTAAACAGACCAGGTTAGGAAAGGAAGAGGGGAAAGGAGTGTTTTTGTCTTGGGCTAGCACGGTTTAAGGGTCTAGCACTGATGCCAGTAAATAATATGGTAAATACAGGCGCTTTTGTTCCTGAACACTCCCATCTGTCTGGCCCAGGGAGAGAAAATAAATACTGTCAGAGCAGAAGAGGCAGAGGGAGGGTGATGAACCAGCAGGGCAGCAGATTAGAAATGCAGACTTGTGGCTAGAGGCAGCATAGTTTAAATCCCAAAGCATCTTGGAAAAAGATGGAAGGAATGGCTGCTTTATTTAAACGCTTTTTCTCTCTACACCCTGGTCGACCATTATTGTCCCACAAGTAAAGCGTTTCATCCCTCAGACTGCCTCAGGAGAGCCGCTGGTGCCTAATAGTTCACTTATGGTGGTTCCAAGCACATCTCCTGTGGGACTTTGTTTTACTTTGTCAGCGTGCTGTCCAAATATTTTCAGGGAACCTCACAGTAAAATTTAACAGCTGATATAACAACATTCCCAAATTTAAGACATTTATTCAAATTACATAAGCCCTTGTTAGCAATGCTAAACCAAATGGGTTGATGTGTCACCACATACATAAAGATGAAACTAATACTATGATGTGACACCATTGTGCACGCCACTTCCCAGCCAACATTACCATTTGATGCTGTTTGATTGGACTCTTGATTGGACTCTATACCTGACAGCAACCCGAACCAGCTGGTAGCAATGTTGGCAAACTAACAGGTTCATCAACCAAGAATGTTGTGTAACCTTGGAATATGAAGTATTTTTAGTGTCCAGTGACTTCTTAGTTGCAGAATTATCAGATTATTTGATTATGACTATGTTAAAAAAATGAAAATCGTCTAATCCTCTCTATCATGTCTCGTGCTTCCAGGCCACCGTAGACTCCCCCTTCCTGCGGGAGCGCTCCCCAGTTCCCACACACCAGTGTAAACAAACATGGGGTTTGCAAAAGAAGGTGATCATTTTGTGGCTAAATAGGGCAAGAGCAAGTCAGTCATGTGGAATTGGTGCGATTTCGAAGTTTTGGATGAAGACTACTCTCCGCTGCAAAGTCTGTCTAAAGGCGGTATCAACCTGTCCACACAGAAACAAATTCAGGAGTAAACACAAATGTTTTTTGTAGTATTGGTGGTTCATCCACATGGAAACGGTGTTTCCAGTGACTGTAAACGATACTTTATGAAAATATGTAAGAGAGTGCATAAATCAGTAAACAACTACCATTTCATCTCTGTGTGGATGACTACCTGCATCTTTCGAAATTATGATGTGACACACAGCGTAACTCTTTTATGGCGTCTGCACGTGTCCGGCCAAAACAACCTTTATACGCATGCTCTGCACTCTTCTTCTGTCTTTTGTGCATTTCCTCGTCAGCGTTACAGCGCCACTTACTGCACTACATTGTTTTGAGTGGTTTCCCTTTGAGAGATGATAGAAAAACTTATTATTATCAAAGTAAAGTTTGGTGAAGTTGTCACTGAATAAAACATCCAAATCAAAAATTAAGTTAACACTTCTATCCATGTGCTTTTCCTGCTGCATGCTGGTGATAAACAAGCAGATATCTGAGCAACGTCAGCTTTAATATTTGATGTTTGCTAACCTTGAAATCAATTTCTAATTAGTAAACAGAATTAGTAGATAAAGGGAAAATGTTTAGACTTAAGTATGATGGCTCTTTATTGACTAGACTAAAAATATAAAAGGCTGAATAGACTAATTTCATTAAAATACTGTGACCAAATTTAAAACGAAAAGCATTCACTAAATCTTTGTCTTAATGATAAACTTATTAACAGTACATCTTTTTCAAATAAAAGTTCAAAAAGTGCTTTGACATCCAGGCAAAAGCACAAGACACCTTTATATCAATATCAAGGGAACCAAACAACACAGGAGCCCTTAATACTTGAAGTGTGTGCAAGAGAAAGTCAGTCTCTGATAGCATTATCAAAGTATATGTTAATTTGACTTTTAAGGACTTTTATTATGATTTTAATCCATTAACAAGCCTTTTATGGATTTTTTTGGGGGGGTTGCCCTCCAGAACAGGCAATAAATGAATTTTATCATCATGTAAACATACAAAAAGGCTCTTGATAATGTGGACATTGTCCAGTCTAATTTGATCAGTTTTATTGATCAGCCTTCACCAGCATGACGGTTTAGTGTGGGGTGGTGCACCATGGTCCATTGGGGTTGCAGTTGACAGGATCATACAGTCATAGCCTGTAATAGCTGTAAGACAAGATAAAATAAGACAAGATGAACTTGATTTTTCCCTGAGGGGAAATTTGAGCATGTAGCATACCATGTCCACTTCTCGAAATACAGAGGCATGTGCAACAGTTTTGAGTGTTTGCTTCACCTTCCATTAAATCTTGAATTTTAGACATGCTTCCTTTTCAGCCTCAGTCAAGGTTTGAATGTCTTTTTAACATTTCACCAATTTCCTCTGAATTTTTGGCATGTCTTTCATGCCAGTTTTGGGAATATGTCTTTAACAGGTGCTCTTTCCTGATGTAGATGAATAAGACACAGACAGGACACAGGGCCAGAACTGAAACACAGAAAAAGAACTGAGCGACAAAAAGCCTGCCCGCTATAAACACCCATCCGTCTCATCAACCACTCAGAGATACACTCTCTCTGTCAAAAAGTGGACGTGGGCCAACATGCACGCGGGTGAGGTTGACCTTTTGTCTCGCTCAGGTGTCTATCAGCTGAGACAGAGGGGGGAGCTGGAGGGAGGGGATGAAAGAGGAGGAGGAGGTGGAGGGAAGGGAGGCAACAGACTGCCAGATCTCTGTGTGGCAGAGCAGCGTGGCCTCTGGCTCTGTCACCACCGCCGCCGCCACTGCTGCTTCTGCTGCTGTCAAGTGACGACAGGACAGAGCAAAACAGAGAAAACAAGGGAGGGTCGGGTTAGGGAGGACGCCACTGCAGAAACATCTTATTTAAGCTGAAATGTTGTCCCTTTGCACAAGTTATTCTTAATTAGAAATGAAATTTTATGAAAACATGTTGGCAGATAAACCCCTGCTGAACTCTGTATGGCAGGCAAAAGCAGCACCTAAATCCATGCATACCATCTCTACATACAGCTAAAGTTTTAAAAGTGACTAAACATAGAAGAAACTGTATGAACACAGCAAAAGTGCAGTTG